TGTCTGCGTGTGTGTGTGAGAGAGAGTGTGTGGTGTTTGTGTGTATGTGTGTGTGTCTGTGTGTGTGAGAGAGAGAGAGAGAGTGTGTGTGTGTGTATGTGTGTGTGCGTGTGTGCACGAGTGTGGGTGTGTGTGTGTGTGTGTGTGTGTACGAGTGTGTGTGTGTGTGTGCGTGTGTGTTTGTGTGTGTGTGTGTGTGTGTGTGTGTGTGTGTGTGATATACGCTTATACTAATTCTTTTTAGAATCAATTAACAGAAGACAGTTTTTTTAATGTCTCTTTATTTTTAACATGTTAATAAAATAACAACATCGATAGATGAATAAATCGCAGAGATATAAAATCAGCAGTCAGTGTTATATGTACATGAACCGGGCAGTGGCGTGTAAAAGAATGAAGCTTAACAGCTGTCATGATTTGAGCTTAGTTGAATAAATTAATCAATCTATGAATACATGAGTTATGTTAGGCACAGAATGCACAGAGATGTGCAAAATGTAATATCAGTTATCAAAATAAAAACAACATGTTCATATATCACATCGTTATTGTTTTGTTGCCATAATTATAAGTAATGCCCATTAAAAAAATTGATGCATGCGGTTTTTACAGTGCAAGTTATGTCGGAGAGACATCTAAGCTGACAATGTATCCCGTCAAGCTGTGCAACTATTCTAAACCCAAAATAAAGATTTTTTTTAAAATAGAAAAGAGGAAAATAGCAAACTTTTTCATTATTTTTCTAAATATTAAATATTATATACAGCACACCGATAAAAAATTTTAAAAATAAAAATATAAATATAACCAAAACAAACAAAAAACCGCGCTGTTAACGATTTGACTGAAACATGCTTTAATTCCGACACAGTGCATTAAAAATTTTTTTTTGTTTTTTCCCCTTCTTCGGCATGATATAGAATTAAAATGTATTTCGGCAAAATATTTCGTCGGCGTATGAAACCATTACCACAGATTAAGAAGTAGCGATAAGATAACGTTTTGAAAAAGTTGGGCTGGGTAGCCTCTACGTCTCGACAGCTGGCCAGAAAAAATGCGGTCATGTAGACAGAAAAGTGCAGTTCCTTGACACAGACACATTAAAACTTATTCAAAACAAAGCGTTGAACCTGAGCGATCTGCAAAGGTTTTATTGTGAACGATACTAATTTGAATGAAACACGCACATAGTTCTGTTCAAGAGTATGCTGTGAAAATGTTTACAACACTCCGCTCAACAAAAACTTTGGTGTTAAAATTGATTGAAACCTGATTAGAATTCTGCTTTATGCCGAAAATTTCAATATCCATGAGTTTACAACATGCCTTTGAGCAAAATATAGGTTAACGAAAGGTTGAAACCTGTTTATAATTCAGTTCTGTACTGTAAATGTTATTATCCATGTATAAAGTACATCACTGAAAGGAAATTCTGACTGATGAAAGGGGTCTGTTTTCCATGTGATTACGAAAATAGAGATAAAGGCTTTCATCCAACGTTGAATGGTCAGCAGAGTACTCTATCCCACCCACCCCATAAAACCCAACTCCAAAATGGATTTGTTAATTTTTGTTTAAAAGCCTCAGTGTGCCATAACCTTAAAAATTGGAAGAAACCTGGAGTTCCAGCATAATATAATAATGTACAGGAACAAGCATGAGGGATCGTGTTTATTTAAACCATTGGTTTCTTCTTCGCTTTACCGTACCAGATTTTTACCTAATAATTATTAAAAAGAACACAAATGGTGTCCATATTGTCCTTAATAATACATAATTACCTTTCTTTTATAAAACATCTATCAACCATCGTTTTGACCTACATGCAGTTTAGTGGCCAATTGTTTAAAAATATTAATTTACATTTTTTACAGTGAGTACATCATGTCGGTGGTATTAACGGTGCCCATTTTACAGCAACTTAACATTATATTACTTTACATTATAGTACAATAAATATTGAGAAGATGTGGTTAATGAACAGGTAATTCGTTGCGTTTATAAATCAACATGATATTAAAAGCCTCAAAATAGGCGACGGTTTCCTCCACATTATAATAACAACAATATAAATCATAATTAATGTAGAAACTGGAGGTGTTTGGTCGCACTGACATGAATTGACATGCGGTACACGTTTGAGATCGGACACCGCCTTGCTAAGGCATGACTGGTGACAATCATACAATGTCGTTCGATTGACCCTCTGGTGGCTCGTTAGTCTATTCACGTGCAGACTAAATTGTTAGTGGTCGTCGTCCTGAGGCGCTGTGATCATTGCAGATGACGTAGATGGTGGTCACTCATTTCTCACTCGCTGGTCAGTGGATGAGGCATCACGTGCAGTTCATCTCTGGTAACCAGTCCTTCTGTTGTGATAGAGAGTGGAAAAAAACCCAATGTTTTGTTAGAACATACTGTTATAAGATATTACTTCATGTATTGAGAAGCATTTTGTTTCTTTTCTGTTGTCATTATGATCTTTGAATTTTTTTTTAAAGAGAGAGAGAGAGAGAGAGAGAGAGAGAGAGAGAGAGAGAGAGAGAGAGTTACAATACTTGAACGGATTAACCGATTTTGATTTTATTTCTTGGAGCTAAGCTCTCTTCTAGACAGATATGTGTCAGTTCAAAGGTGGAATACTCTGGTTTGGGGGGAGCGGGTGGTGGGATGGGGCTTCTTTTTTTCTTTTCCAGGGGAGGGGGTTGAATGGCAGGGTGGAAAGTGGCTAAATAGGTTCGAAAGGTTGATAGAGGTCGTGACAAATGTAAAGGAAAGGTGTTGATCCTACCTTCAAGAGTTTGTAGTATTTTGGTGTCACCCCATATGGGAGTTTTGTGCCTTTGTTTGTGGACTATTTATATCTCCACGTGTGTCTATATGTTTGATGTGAGCATGTATGTCGTACTTTCTTCCTCATAAGCTACGAAAAGTTTTTTTTGTCGTTCTCTAACTTTCTGTCCATTAGCCTTCTGCTCACCTCTCTCCTTGCCCCCACCACCACACACATACATCTAGACTTGTGTTTTCTTTATTTTTTTCTCCTTTCCATGTCTTTTTCTGTGCCCAGTGTCCTGTTTTGTTTCGGAAGAAGAGTTATATAACTACGTCGTAACCCCCCCCTCCCCCACCTCTTCCTTGCTTGCCTTGGCAGCTACCCAAAATAATCTTTGACGCCGTTCTCTACGTACAAGACATGGCATGGCGTCAAAGAATGATAGCCTAGATGTGATGATTACATATGACGAATCGGTTTTGCTATGCATTTTCCTTTACTATGTCGGGCTATAGTTCACGTCATAACTTTTGCCACGGTATATGAAGCTGTCGTGAGCTGCAAGGATGCCCTGGGTTTTACCTCGAAAACATCGTAATAGGGCATAATAACGACCGTCTTTAAGGGGGGCTGCGTACGATGAAAAAATTAAGGGCGGGAAATAATCATCCGGTACCCGGTTGCATGTAACTAGCCAACTTTTTAGCCATTAAGTAAAACTTTAAAAAACTAAGTGATGTGTTGGGACCCTTGACTAAAAAGTCGCTCTCGATAAGTTACCCCAAGTAAGAATTTCAGTAAATCGACCAGCATTTTACATTTCTCGAAGGCTGTCAAATATATCAGGTTGGGTCAACATACACTCTTACTTTTATCAGGTGTATGTTTCCTTCTTCTAGATAGCAGTAGCAGGATTTAGCGGTATGGCCCAGGCGTCTGGTTTTCTTTATACATGTATTATGCAAGCTGTTTTAGGTTTTATTTTCTGGTTCTTTTCTCTGTGACGTTACCCATGCACAATTTTCCTATGTTTTATGTTCGTCTCTTGCGTAGCTACGTTCCTCTAATGTTTTATTTTTGGGTTTTTTTTTCGGTAAAAGTATTTTGCAGTTAGAAGTGCCGAATTTTCGGTGTTATATGCTCTGTAGTAAAACAAAACTTTGAGAATAATAATGAGATTAGTTGTGTGGTATTTTTTATGTGGGTTTTCTAAAGTTTTCTTTTCTTGTAACCGATTTTTCCTAATCGAAATGAAAATGTATCTGTCGATGTTGAATATCAGGTTTTTACACCCTTGAAAATACATTGCCGGTCATCCCATATCCAGACACCGTCAAAGTTACGTAGCTTTTTAAAAGAGTTTTACAGCCTTTATTCAGTTAATCTTTTGGCGCCCTGTCGTAGGCAACTTAGTGGATGGTTGGCGGGTGCTCTGGTGTGGTTTGCTTCTTCTTTCCTATCAAACATCTATCGTCCTTATCTCTCCTTCTTTTTTATGTTTGTTACTCTCTTGTAACACCTCTAATCTTCTGGCACTCTATGACCATAAAATATGCAGTGGCGAGCGCCGTAAAACTTCTACTTAGACTAAAACGTAGGCAACGTACTTTTTTCCGTGCTTTTTTTTTGTTCTGTTCCTCGCATAACGTGGCCGTAGTCAAACGTGCTGACCCGCCGTATACTACTACAACCCATCCCCTACACTAGTTTGAAGGAGTCGTCCGTTTGGCCCCCTACTCTCCTGTTCTTGTGCCAACTCTGACCATATACATGTCATTCCCAATTAAGCGCATCAGGCACAATGCGGGTAGTTGTTTTGGCAGGCATGCTAATGTTATTTTACTCCCTTTTTTTTTTAAAACCAGGGTTTGTGGGTGGTTGGTGAGCGCTCTGGTGTGGTTTGCTCCTTCTTTCCTCTCGAACATCTATCGTCCTTATCCCTCTTCCTTCTTTTTTTGTGTTTGTAACTCTCTTGCAGCACCCCACATCTTCGGCACTTATTTGACCTTGTTGTGTTGTAAGTGCCGTAAA